CTGTAAAAGTCGCAAATGGCTTCCTTGAAGAATTCAAAAGCATCGTGCCCGCTTCGGTTGTCGTTCGCGCACGAATAGCCTCCTCAATGTTCATTTTCTTCGCAATTTTAACAGCTGCACCATGTATATCGATTGCTTGTCCAGTTGTCCTTGGAACCGGTGATCGCTCAATAACCTTCACTGACGCGTTGGGTCCGGCTCTAGCAAGCCAGTAGGCGAAACATGGCCCGGCGATGCCAGCGCCCGAAATTAGGACTTTCAGTTTGGGTGTAGTTATAGGCATCATCTTCTTGGTTATGTTTTGCATTGTTGGTTTAGTTTCATATTTCATATGCCTTTATATGATTTTCGAGATACTCGTCAAAACAACCTCTTATTTAGGCAGCGATTTCGAAGTGGGCCTAGTATGGTCAAAGACCAGCGGCATGGTAGGTTTGTATGGCCCTAGCATGTATAGATTTTGATGTGATATGGCGAGTTGCTCATTTGAATTCGCTTCTCCGTGCAGATTTCATAGAGTCATAATTCCATCGTGCCTTCTTTTCGTGAGAATACCATGTCTTCTGTCCCTCTTCGGTAAGTGGGATGAAGTACGCTTCGGTAACCGGGTCTTCGGGCTTTTCTAACACCCGAGACCGACATCTGATTTGATTATGTCAATTCGCTGGACAATTCCTTCCGCGTACGCAAAAAGAGGTAAATGCAGGTGAACGAAAAAGCTATCTGTAGTGAAAATTAGGCTTTGTAATTATTCTCAAGGCAAAATGAAGTCTGCTCATGGTTCCTCCAATATGAGATACAAGAGTAAAACCCTTCAATCAGCTATTTGACTTCTTCCGAGTCTCTTGATCCCAGAGAGCATGTCTTCATTTCGAACTTGAAATCTCAATCATCTGACAAGACCAATTGGGTTCGAAAATTAACAGCTTTCATCGTCGGGCATCAAGCAAGACTGCGGCTGTAGACTCCGCCAGCTCTCACCATCTTGAGCGCAACGGCTAGCGAAAGGCGAATACTGTGGAAGCGGAACACATTCGGGAAGGCAAGGCATGAGTTCCACTAGGCGTGTGATGCAGAATAAAGCATAGGACAACAATGAGAAAAGGGGGAGATATGAGAGTTAAGAGGATCGAAACGTTGGAACAGATGTAGGTTGAGAAAAGATATCGTCGATGAGTCGTGGCATAGAAAACTATATGAGAGGCATTAGATTCGCCAGCAGCAGATCGTTAATCCGCCATTTCCAGATTGCTGAAGACAGGATATTCCATTCATCATCGGAATTACATCACCACATCTCTGGAAGCCATAACGTAGTTCTCGAACAACCGGGCATCACTTGAATACAGGCTGTAAAAAGGATCAGGTAGGAAGAGATGAGGCGATGTAGCATAATCAAAACCATTCAAAGCATATGAATGTGCACCTTCATGAAAAAAGTGAAAGAGAATGGTGGTGATATGGTACAGAGATAATTTTGAGGATGATGAGTGAATGGTAAAGTAGGGAAAGCTGGGTTTATAATTCGGAACTGAAATGATAATGAGATCGATCCTTCCTTGGGGACATAGTCATCTCTTGTGCATACTACATACTTTGCTATTGTTGAGTTTATGGGCTGCGATAGTCCTCGCAACGTCTTGCCTTTCAAAATCTGACATGCTTGGACGGCAGTCTTCCCTCGGGAATCGTATCATTTCGACATGCCCTTCAGACAAATATATTTCTTTTAGCATGTTAGATTAAATAAATAAATGACTTCCATAAGCACATCCCAATCACTACTCCTAAACATTAGTCCCAAACTACATAAATATAAAGTCGATCCAGTAGCCACAAAAAGAAGTGTTGGTATTTCTGAGAATGACAAATATTGGGACCAAATGCAATGAGTGTGTCAAGCATGCAATACAAGTTCCCACCTACGGAGAGCGGAGTCCAAACATGTATAAGAAAGTAAACATAACGATGGGTTGCTTTTGGGTAAACGATATTGGATTGGAGGGGGAAAATGAATCCGAAAAAAAATGGCAACGAGGAAGACAAACGGGAGATGAGATAAACCCTGAATAAAGAGCTGCGGTCATCAGATAATTAATGATAATGATAATATGCGGAACACTGTGAGCTAATGGCAAACGCGAAGATCGACATCTGTCTAGGATTCTTGCTGATGGCTCTCTGATGATAGAAGCATACCAAAGTAGATATCACGGTGCTATCTCTAAACGTTCTCCAATTGCAATGTGCAATGGATGGTCTCTGAATATTATATCTCCGAACTTCAAACAGGAAATGAATTCCCCTTCAGTACCATTACCCAGACCAAACCCATCGAATCATCCATAGCAATATAAGCTCACTATCCCATACCTAAGTGGGCAATGAAAGATGAGTATGGATAGCAGAGGTGTAGTAAAACACCTATGCAGAACTGTCCGCAGCGTGTTGTTAGGCCAGAGCAATATGCCGTCGGCGATTTCGACCCCCAGGATCTTAAAATTGAAACCTGAGTATCACTGACGAATGAGCCCACTCAATCTCACTCATAACATTCTAATCTCTCGTTGTGCCCCCTCACCTCACCTCAACTCTCCTCTCCATCTCAAACCTCTGTCATCCCCTCTGGGGCCCCCATCTTCAACCTCCTACCCCAAAACCTCATCAGTGGCAGCACCTCCTCCCTCCCCCTCATCATCCCATCACCTTCTCTCTCCCATTTAACATATTCTACATCCGCAAATGTAGTCTTTACCTTTTCCAACGCTGTCCTTGTTATTTCCGACTTTCTGTTTCCGCCCGCTAGCAAAATTGGTGTTCTGACCTTCCCTTTGTTATCCTTTTGACTTGTCACTGAATTTGAAGGCGCAGAGAAAGAGGCAGGAAGTCGTCCACCAATTGAAATCGCTCCTCCCAATTCCACATCTTTTAGGAGTGAAGAAGTAGTTTGTGCAAGAGTCGAAAGCGCCAGCATGCCTCCTTGTCCGAACCCAAAGATAAATATATTTCTTGATGGATAATTACATGTTTTCACAAGCGTCTCGATCATAGAAGTCAGGAGTGTGATAGAGGGTGTGAGATCAGCATCAAGATCTAGAAAACCAGTTGTAGAGTCGAATTCGAGATCGCGTGCCCAATGGAAAGAAGGTAGGTCGGAACCAGTGATGAGGGCGGGGATTGGGGTTGGGGCTTGAGGAATTAAGGACGCAGTTTGAGGCAGAGATAAGTTTTTAGCTGAGCGCCAATGTTAGTTGAAGGAGTGATTAATGAAATGATAGGATCTGTAAAACATAAGAGGGTGTCGACAATATGAGAGGTATTGGGGCAAGAGGAGAAAATGCAAACAAGGTGAATAGAATCTCACCAAGCTGTGTGAATCCATTCTTCGTATCCCCCAGACCATGAAGCAGAATCAAAATATTGGTATTTTTTCCATCTTTGGATGGTAAAATATCACATAATAGATTCCTTGGTAGATCATCTACAGTCGGCAGACGTGGTGTTGTCATATTTACTCTTGGGTTCTTCCACCATGAATTTCGTCAGCCTTGCTTATTCATAAAACGTCGCCAAATTATGCAAATAACGAAAAGGGCGACCGTGGAGGCTTACAAGGTCATCCTCGCCGGATAAAACAAGCATCGGACAAAGCGATATCTATGGAGAAGCCAATGAAGCTTGTTCAGCTGAACCCTTAACTATTCGGTAGTACCTACCAGGAAGGTACCCATTCACGCCATTTTCCACGATGTACGAAGTATTTATTGGTTGCAAAGTGGGAATTGCCGAAGCAGCGGAAGGGAAGGGAAGGGAAAGAGTGGAAGCTTGCCTCGAGCTTGTTAAAGCTTCGATGTCGTTTGTTCGCCCAATGTTTACCAGGTATTCCAGGTTGGTACTGGTTGGCCCCGTATACGATGTAGAGTACAGATTACGTTTTTAGCTGTTTCAACCCTTGATGCTGCAATCGATGCTTCATCTCATACATGCCATGCGCCTCTCACAGATGGATGCCAGGTGAACCCTTATGCTTGTGTGTGTTTATCGTGCATTGCCGCCAGGAGCGAGAGTTACTTGACACCTGCACTTTGCATTGGCAGCACTGTCTTGATATCAACGTGCCCTTGTCATTGGTCGCAGTTGGATATTCTACAGTGTTACGCGCACAATCAACTTGAAGACAGGGCCCGGTCATGCAAGGATTGATGGAAGTGTTTTGAACCCCTCTCCTCATCCATCCATCCACCCATCCATCCACCCATCCATCCACCCATCCACTTATCCAACCACCCATCCGAATCCGATGCATGCACGCATGGAGGGGTCAAGTAGCAGTCAAGCAATGTAATAAATAACCTTGACGGGGACAATGAAATACCAACGGTACCAACAATACCAACGGTAACGTAGAGCAAAGTGAAAGTGGTAAAGCCACGGTGGTCGGATGGCCTAAGACTCCTGGTTGATAACTCACTGCGTACTTGCTAAGAACGATGGGGAGAGAAGTGATTGTGATGATATATATCTTTCTGGTTCTTTCATGCATTCCGGAGCTTTCGTCAGCGTGTCATAGGCTGATTGATCGACCCTGAAGATCTGGTTTCTTGAATTTTGGATTCACCATGTAACTTGTTGGAGACTTGGAACTTCGGAGCATCAAGACCCAGAGAGATCTAGGTGTTCAGTAACTTCCGTACGAGATACACGGAATAGATAGAATTACCTACAACTACCGGTGAAGGGATTCTCCTGAATTTTGATTGTATCGTAAGAGATATACAAGTTTTGATGTCATCATGGGTGCTAACTACATCATCATAGGTACTCAGGTTATACCTATAGTGATAATGAAGGGGGTCTGAGAGCTTTGGAACCATTTATGTTTTAACTTTGCCCCTCAATAGCTGTGTTGTACAAATGCCATGGGAGCTGTACCCTTGTTACCACGAGTACTTCTTACTTTATATACCAGCAACCTGTATGAAGACTCTAGAATATGCTATAGCATCATTCGGTCTTTTACTCAAACGAAGTAAACTTCATGACATGCATGAATAGCTACCAAGTATTCAGCAAGACAAATGTTCCATACTCGACGTCGATAGATATACATAGTAAAGATAGATCGGAGGCATTGGATTCGAGAATCGGGCATAACCTTACCTAGGGAAGAATGGATGGCCATCTCACTGCCACTGCCACTGCCTTCCCACCAAAACAATGGCATATTAATCCAAGCATCTATTCATCGGTACCCACGGCCGGCCGGCTCTTGTAACAAACAATTTCGTCTCCAACAGGCTTCTTATTTGATGATTCCATTACTTTCTTTTGGAAGCCACGCAAGCCGTGTCCCTACTAAACCATTGGAAGAACTTGACACTTGTCTCTGAGTGCCCAGTAGATTGTGGGCTAACTATTAGTTTCATGCAATGTGGGGTTCAAAAGATGAGGTATGAGGTACGGGTACGAGGTGTGAGATGTGAGATGTGACGACTGGGGAATCACCATAGCCTTAAGAAATCAAGGGGAACAGGGGAAAGCTGTATGGCCTCATTCAAGGTATCCCCCTTGGAAGTCTACAGAGTACAACATTGGTCAGAATCCCCATTCTGTACTCGAGTATACCTCCTCATTCACGTTACTTACAAGCGGGGGCTTGATATTTAAGGGAATAAAACGGTGAATCATATACTACTCTATTTGGTTAAGAAGTAAATGGCATGCGGGTGTGAGTGTATGAATTCCATAAAGGCATGGGTAGTAAAAGAGGGGTGAGGGTTCGACGGTAACACTTCCATCTATTTAAAGCCCTCGTCTCTCCCCTCCTCTTCTTTTCTCACCAACAACTACATCTCTACATCTCTACATCTCTACACAACTTCAATCTACAACTATATCTCACACTTTTCAAAGTTTTTAACTTTCGCCAAATAGATCTATCAAAATGGTTTTCGGCTGGGGTATGTCTCTCACTTTCTATCTTCACAATGTTCCATCCTCTATGAGCTTCCATACCTCCCAACCTTCACTCTGATACTTCACGCAACAAGATTACCGCCTACTAACATACAATTCTCTTAGGCGAATCTCAAGAACACTACGACCAATACCAAAGCCAAGACACTGCCAGTCTCGGTCATGAGGTTCTCGCAGGAGGTGCTGGTTTCGCTGCCATGAAGATGTTCGAGGACAGACAACGCAAGGAGGGTATGTCCGAGGCCTCGCTTCTTCATCTCCATTCAAATCAACGTACTAACGCGAATACCTTTCATAGGAAAGCCAGTCTCCCACGCTTTTGCTAAGGAGCTTCTCGCCGGTTTTGCCTCTGCTGAAGTCGACAAGTTGGCTGAGACCAAGGGTGAGGACTGGGTCCGTGAGCACAGAATGAGAGAAAAGTCAGAGGAACAAGCCGCACATTTGTATGATCAACACTATGGTCAGGATGATCAATACGACCCGTACGTTCTCTCTCATTTACTTTTGTTATCACTCCTTCAGATCCTTTTGCTAACATGACCTTTCTTATAGAAACCAACGTGGTCCCCCAGAGCACTTCCAAAGCTACGACAACAACTATTAAATTGACAATCGAGAGTACGGAATTGATCGAGGATATCAGAATTGATAGTATGATGAATTGATGGGATTTCTGCTGCCTCAATCAGGGGATTGCCGATGATGATGACGAATTTTATATATATAGCATGCATAGCTTTTCATGATGGACGATACCGCCTGGCAGAAGCTTAGGTTCACAGAATATAGTCTCAATCGAAATAAAAAGATTTCGACCAGCAACGTTGATTTTGTCTTGTTATTTTCAGTATTCAAACACTGATCAACTTGTGATGGATCGATGATCATCGATGTGAAGATTTACTAAGTACATTCAAGTACATTCATTGATAGATCTATTGACATGTCGTTGATGTTGGAGGGTACTTGTCTCGATTGTAAGATCTTATCTCTTGGTTCAGGAACAGTGCATACTTGGCGATGTGGATTAAGTCTATCTATCGCCAAGATTAGATATCGGTGTAGCTCAATATTGGAGAGGCTGTACATCTGAGACAACAATCGAGTACAATAATCACAACATCCCATCTTTGACTTCAATTGACTTCCAACTCTCATACTATAGTTACTGTTCAGAATTCATGTACTAGGTAGGTATTGATACTCCATTCAGAAATCAATCTCACATTAATCGCATCACTCCCATCAAATAATAACTCACATTAACGATCCCTGCCTATTCAGATTCAATACCGCTTTACACTCACTATATTCGCCATCGCTCTGTTGAAAAGAAGACGACCCGCTGCTCACCACTTACTATCTTCCCGGTACCTTCACTTGCTGCTGAAACCTCAGACATCAGTATAGATCAATCTCCCCGGAACAAACACGACACAATGGTTAGAAATAAGCCGTCAAGCGCCTCTCTTCACAAAACTGCCATGGAGAAACAAACTGCTCCTGACGAGAAGGTTACCCAGGAGCTTTTGATGGGGGAATTTGCCAAAATGAAATTGGCGATTTCTAAACCTACCAACCCGAATAATGGGGAGTCCTTCACAACCCGTGAAAGTCTACCAATTCGTTCCCTTGGGGGTGATTCATGGGGCCCTTCGGGTTCCGTCGACTTGGAAGAGCGCTTAGGACAGGAAAAGATTGAGACACTCTTTGAGAAGATGAGAAAATCTTACCAATTTCCATCCGCCCAGGCGGAAATTAATGCTACAAGTGGTGCACAAACTTTGTTCGAAGCATTCCACTCACCTAATGATTCTCTTATTCCTCGCAATCTAGATACCAAAGCGCCCAATGCTGCAAAGCATGCGATCATTCTCAAAGATCCCGAAGAATATGCAGAACCGTTCATTGATTTCATGACGGAGAACCCAACAGTTTGGCATGCTATTCAATATTGGGAGAACAAGTTGGAGGACGCTGGGTTTACTAAGGTTTGTGCAACTCTCATTCTTGCTGGTTCTTCACATTTAATTTCACTCGCACACTCGAATTCAAGAAGCACAATGCTGATATTATCTTGTTTATAGCTCTCTCCGCGTGATTCATGGAACGGCAAGCTTGAGCCCAACGGGAAATACTACGTGAACCGCAATGGAACATCCTTGATTGCATTTTCCGTGGGTGGTGCATACAAATCTGGAAATGGAATAGCAATGGTTGCCGCACACTCTGATTCTCTCACAGCTCGTCTAAAGCCCATCAGTACCAAACACAATAAGGCTGGATTTGTACAACTCGGAGTTGCTCCTTATGCTGGCGCATTGAACGAAACATGGTGGGATAGAGATCTCGGGATTGGTGGTAGAGTTCTAGTCAAGGATGAGAAAACTGGATGCATTTCTCAAAAATTGGTAAAACTGGGTTGGCCAATTGCACGCATTCCAACTCTAGCTCCCCATTTCGGTGTTGGAATGTTAGGACAGAACAATATGGAAACACAACTCGTACCAATCATTGGTCTCGATAATTCCGATATTGAACCTTCAGCTTCATCCTCATCACCATCACCATCATCCGAGCAATTTCAAACATCAAACATTTCCGGTGCAAAATCTTCATTTATCTCCACCCAACCACCAAAACTTGTCAATCTTATTGCCAAAGAATTGGGCGTTGAAGATAAAGAAACCATCATCAATTGGGAACTCGAACTTTTTGATACCCAGCCATCTCAACTTGGTGGGCTCGACAAGGAATTCATTTTCTCGGGACGGATTGATGATAAAGTTTGTTCCTGGTCTTCCATCGAGGCACTGCTCTCCAACTCTTCCTCTGAAAATTCCAAATCATCTGGTATCATTTCCATGGTTGCTCTTTTCGATGACGAAGAGATTGGCTCGCTCTTGCGTCAGGGTGCAAGGGGTAATTTCCTCCCCGGAACAGTTGAACGTATCGTGGAGTGCTTCAATCATTCCACATACAGTCCAAATATTCTGATGGAAACCTATGCCAAGTCTTTCCTCGTATCCTTCGATGTTACACATGCTACAAATCCTAACTTCTTGGAAAAGTATCTCGAAAATCATTGCCCTAGACTTAATGTAGGATTGACAGTTGGAGCAGACAGTAATGGTCATACTACTACGGATTCTGTCTCAACAGTTATTTTCCAGAGATTGGCGGAGAAATGCGGACAAAAGTTGCAAACTTTCATGATTAGAAATGATTCTCGATCGGGGGGTACGGTAGGACCGATGTTGAGTTCTGCAATGGGCGTGAGAGCTATTGATGTCGGAATCCCCCAACTAAGTATGCATAGTATCAGAGCAACTACAGGATCTAAGGATCCTGGATTGGGGGCTAAGATGATTGAGGGTGTTTTTGTAGGGTGGGAAAGTGTGGATGAGGAGATTGCTGGAGGTAAAGGATGGTAGAGATGTTTATTTTCAGAACTGATTGTTTAGGAAGGGTGCAAGATTGGGGATTGGTACTACATAAGGATGCGTCATGATACAAGCTGTGCACATATTAAGGTGCACATACTAAAGGGATGAGTGAGTGGAAGGATTTCATATCGTCTCAAGTCACATATATAGTACATAGAGAGGACATAGCATGCGTTTTTTACTTTATTAGCATATTACAATGGTTCGATCAGGGCTTTTTTATTTTGCTGTATGCTTGTTGCTGCCAGACTTTTCCAATGAGTTTAATGAAATTGTGGAAAATATAACGAAATCAACTTTTAAGAGCAATGCTCTTCTTGAACACTTATTGGATGTCTAGCAATGGTACATATTTAGAAAGTGAGTAAATCGACACTAACCAACTTTTGAGGGCATACAAGTATCTGGATTCACGATTGATACGAGGAATGAGCAACTTGTATATTTTTCTCCTCTCCACAAGCGGAGAAGAGCACCTGGGGCAAGTAGTAATGGCGAGGATGGCGAGAGTGTGGTCTGTAATGAGTTTGGCTTTCGATGGAATTTTGGTAAATCTTCAAGACGTCCGAAGATTCCTTGGGGGTTGAATCTCTGAAATGAGATACCGCAGGTTACGGAGTGGTAAGAGATATCAATCTACAAATCTCGCACAAATATGAATCGAATGAAGAGTTCCAGTAGAGGTGGGCGGGGGTGGCTGAAAGATGTGAAGGATTTTTAAAAAGCTGAGCTTAAGTTTGAGCAAATAGTAAGATAGGGTACGAGGAAATTCCAGGTCTGTAGTCCCTAGTCTATCTTGATAGAATCTCCGTGGCCTATAATGAGATTTGGGAGATCTTAAGGTGAATAAAGATGATCTTATATGGATGACGAGAAGAAGTATATCTGTTTTGAGTGTGAGAAGAGTTCAAGCGAACGATCAGAAAGTGGTTATCTTTTTTAAGATAATCTTCGCAAACCTTTATGAAGATTGACAAGGAAGTGGTAGAAGTCCGGTCGATAAAGCGTCTCGAATATTTGAGCTTATGCATTTAGATCCAGAAAACTTGATCGCTGCACTTTTTCAGGAGAAGGATAGTCTGCGAGGAGTCGATCTCCTTGTCTCAGGTAGATCTTTCCATCCACGCCATGGAATAGTGTATATCGTAGACTTCGTCCGAGTTTGTGAGGTTTCTCGATGCTACTCTTGTGATTCTCTGCTTTCACTGACGCTTTCTCTGGAGTATGAATATCCGGCCTCTTTGGTGGAAAATTTGCCATTTCTAATCGGTGCCCGGTGGATGCAAATGTATCATCACAAAGAGCAAAGTATGTTTCACTGATTATGAAGATGTTAATTTGATAAACGCGCACAATAATATCGACCCAAACACTTATTCTTTGAAGCTCAGCGATGATTCCTCGATGCCATTTTGACTCATGGAACTCTCCAGCAAGTTTCAGACTCGCATTTTGCTGATTCAATCACAAGTGTGCATCTGCTAGCTATTGGGTGACAATCGATCGATTGAATCCTCGAACAATGATTCTCGCCAATATTTCAATGTTATGTGGTAAGAGACTTCGACGGGTCTGGGAGGAGGGGGGTGTTTCCGTTGGCCAGGTTAGATCGATGGAAACCCTCAATCCAAGTGCTCTTTTTCATGACCCGTGGGAACAAAGGGAGCAAACTCGCAGTCATACATGGAGGGTTGTATATGCAGGAACTTTCAAACTGGGCAAGACAGTATTGAAGCCAGGATTCCATCTAGTTATGAGCACCAAGACTGAATTCGGTTGTCCTCTGACGATTGGTAGTATCTGGATATAAATGGCCAACACTCCACGACACCAGAGGAGATTTTATCGCCACAAACGTGTGATATCGTGGGAGAATCAGCGGGTATGATTGAGCTTTTCGGCAGACATCAAACATCCTTCATTCACTAGCATCGCATTTCGAAAATAGGCGAACAACAAGATGTAAGATGTGATACTGATACATTAAACCCGCAAATGAAGGTGATCTGAGAGATATATGTCATGGCGCACACTAGTTTTGCGCATACTGGCCATGGTTTGAGAGACTAAAGCTGTTATTTACGCTTTGGATGTAGTGAATTCTTCCCCGTTCACCCAAACTACTAGTAATTTCAGTGATAGACATTTCACTACCTAAGCTAACAATCTGAAGTCATGAAAGTTCACTGAGCAGTATTAATGTTGCTTAAAGTCACTTTATCAACAGGAATTTCTAGATGTTGCCATGTATTTGCCATCAACAGTCCAATACGTTGGAAACTAGGAGAAAACTCAAGCATCTCGAGAGACATATTCAGATCTTATAATTCATCTAAACCAAAAGATGTGAGACAATTGCAGTTAGCCACTGCAATCAAGGTGAAAGCGGAGTTATGTTTCGTTCACTACATCGAAACTATTGAACTCTATCAAAAGCTGAATGTAGTCTTCGCGATCTATTCGATACCGATAGGTTGAGAAAACCATACCGCGTTTAGTACGCATGAAAAATACCTAATGGTTCATAACATGTGGAACAAAATTGATGAACCTACGATAATGTACCCATTGGGTTGGAAAGAAGGAGCAATGCTGAGTGTTTTTGCCAGGAGTAATGCCTTCATCAACTAACGAGCAACAACTTACAGAGATCCTGGAGCTTCTCCAAACAATAGCACCCATGATTTCTACGAATACTGCCATGCCTTTGCACGATAACGTCCCGAATACCTGGTTTGAACGCCCAGAGGAACTCCCACTCTTCCAACGACGGGGATCACCTTGGTAAATGAGTGGATCATGAAGTTGCCATGCGTTATGAGATACGCAACAGATGCTATGGGAAGCTCTTGAAAGATCTCTGATAAGGTGAATGAATCTTGTCTTTCCAGTTCAAATGAAGGGGGGTTGATTGGATGGTTCGGCTAATAGGACAATTAACCACAATGATATCCTTGGCGTAAGAATTTGATGAAATTTGTCCGACGGGTTTATAAGACACTTCGAGGATTTCAGAGCGTTGTGGTTGCGTTAAATGTACCGTGATGCTTCAACGATCCGTGGAACAGTCAGATTATTCCGTGCCAACGACAATCGGAGAACTTCATTATGCTTCGTATTCCATCAATTAACGTTTGCGATCAGCAAACCTTAAATTCTTGGGTAACCTTAAGATTTGCAACAAATTAGTCTTCCCTTTAAATCTACCAATTATTCGGGTCGTGCACATGATCGTCGACGTGTTAATGAAGTACACGTGCAATGATGTGGCACCCTAACCGTAAATTCAAAACTAAAAAATGCAATGACCACTCACACCGGAAGATGGAAAAACCAAAGAAGCCATGGAAATTCTCAATACTTCCATAGAAACTGAGATGTGCAACAAATTCAGGATGATCTCTATGAAATATAGGAAGTAACGGATGAATTCTGATTTGAGGAAACAAACAAGCGAGGCATTCACAATCGAATGTAATGCATAAGCCCGATGCAGACTTTCAGGTACCGTCGTTGAGATCGGAAGATACGCAAGCACTGATAGTGAGAGGAAAGCTAATGAGACAATACAATACCAGTGGGGTAATTTGATCGAGGTGCTGAATGTTCCGAGGATTCTGGATTTCATGATGCCGGTGCTGGTGCTGGTGCGAGAACGTAAGAGTAAAGTAGGCAGAAGATATGTGTAGATCCAGAAACCACCTCCACATATTTCCAATTGAGAGTCCCCCGATGCCATGGGAGACTACATATCAAGATATCTTGAAGAATTGACATGTGGTTTCACCTCAACGAAAATTGAGGTAATATTTCCCGAACACCCGAATCTAAATCACTGAGGGTGGTTATCTTTAGGATAAATCCGACGAATTGGCTACCTTCACTCCATTCTTGTCAATTGCCCCTCCCTGTGACCTTCATTGTCTAATTGTGGGTAGTTGTAGCTGCAATAGGAGTACGGGAAACTGTACAAATTTGGCTGGGTTCGATCGCGTCCTCCGAATGGTCATGTAAGACATGCTTGTATTGGTAATTGGAGCTCTGAATTATTGCCAAGTGTAGATCTGAAAATGCCCAGATGTTGAGATATGCAACATTTGGATCTTTTTCGGTGCATCACAAGCTGTTTTCATACCAAGCTGAATAGGCATCTTGGGTCTCTGGCCATTTTCGTATTTGTATCACCTCAAAATTCGGAAGTCCAACTGAAAGCAGGACACATACAGAGTCGATTCATTACCTACCGAAAATAAGAATGTATTCAATGCTAGAATTTTTGTGAATTTTTGTGTAGTTATGGTTTTTTCTTTCTCTTTCTTTTCCCTCAATGAAATGACCACTGTCTCGAACGAGTTCGGAGAGAGAACTCTTGATGTCGTTGCGTTGTAATAGAAAGTACCGTAGAAAGTGCCGTAGAAAGTATCATCGGCCTTGAGCTCCAAAAAGTGCTGGAAACAAAGCTCTAGACAGTCAATTCTCACGGCCATTTGGGGGTTGAGTAGCGAAGCGTTATGTTGAGAATTGAGACGTGCAACACTGACAGTCGCTCTTGATATCAGTGCCATTCCGGAAGAAGTATGGCTTGAAATCCGAGACTCGAGTAGCTAGTGGATGTAACAATATGAAACTTGTTGACCGAGTTTAAACGTTGAGAATTGAGATGCGCAACAATTCTATCCATCTTTTGTCACAGTTGTACTATTGCATTATGGTACTGTCGTGGTAATGGTTGCCAATTTGTTGTGTGGTTGGTTGAATGAAACTTCCTACGGGATGGATGAGCGTATGTGTGCTGACTAAGATTTGGATGACTAAGACTAGCCTCAGCATAGGAAAACAATCTTGATCAAGGAACCTACCTGATCATGAAACTCGTTGAGATGAAATGACTTTGGTATAACGGACAAAGTAGCGAGTTTCTTCTCTTATTCATTTTGGATTCCAAAAGCTATTATTATGAGATTTTGATATCGGTTCAAGATCCACGGCGGCATGAGAGTCAAAATCTGACGATTAAGGTTACCACTGGTCACAGACATGCGCGAGTCATTTACCTCTACCATCAAAAGTATAATGGTGATGATTTCCCAGATTTCCAAGGATGATGCTTGGCGATTTGATTTGTATTTGAACAAATGGGTGAGAAACCGGCTGAAAGAGAGAAGCTTTCGATATGGTCTGGAAGCTTTGAGGTCATCTTCGACCATCTAGAATCGGACTTGAACATGACAGCAGACTAGAACCAAGCACTGAAACTCTGGAAGAAAGATGTTCTATCACGTCGATCTCATATCTCAGCCCCCTTTGGGTATGGCTCGGCTACAGTAGTTGTTCGTAGCCTCCCCAGATTTCACAACTCAGCCGCTAATGTCGGAACATCACATCTCGGCGATCCTTCATGAATTATTCTCAACCACTCACCTGCAATGGTTGTCTTCCAGAATCCACGGGAATACTGACAGGTTCGGAAAGTATGGCCGTCTCCGTTGTAGATATGCAACAAAGTCAAGCTGTGGTTTAGGGACGAGGCCATCGTGTTTTCTCATCTCGAAATTGTTCCAGTTGACCGTTAGGTCGACGTTGACGACGCATAAGGCTATATGCCAAAGCATAAGAGCCTCAATAACATGGCGAGCATGGGTACTTTTTCTTCAATCCTTTTCAAGGGTGAGTCCATCCAAGCGTGCATCTAAGATTGTGGAGCCTCGAAGGGGCTTCCCGTTGTACCACGACTCGTGGCAGTTGTGATAATGTTACGTGGTGGCTAGTCAGCTCTACTCACTAGCAATATCCAAAGGAAAACGTGGCAGCTAGTCTCGCTCATTTCTGCCATATTGGGTGTACTCCTTCTCGGACATGCTTCTTCTTGTGGAATGTTAAGATCATAAATGGAAATACATCCGTGACAGCATCAATTCACACAAAATTTGTTGCATGTCTGTCGCTCAGAATTTCCTCTCATCAATTCTACCAGGTCTCATTGAGAGAGAGTCTTCAGTGTATATTTATATATATGCACAATTGTTGCACATCTCATCTTTGCGTCATGCCTGTCATTTATGCGGGTCATACCCGTTGACCATGCATTCCAATTTAAGATCCAATGACAAACGCCATGGCGGAGACTGCCGACTGCACATTCATGACTGACTCAAGGGCACAAATTGTCGTACCATTTTAATTTTACCTCTAATTCAACACAACGGAGCTCCTTTCACAGTATTAAAGTTTTGCGCCGCAGCAGACATTGGATTGGTTCATCCGTCTATGAAATTGTTTTGTTGCACATCTAATGACTGAGTCTGAGTCGTGGTGATGATGCACGCCTCGCTGAACTTTGTATATATCGGCGGGTATTTCTACTCGCGCCATCCTATCCCGAGTTCAATCTTTAAATTGTGGAAACTTTGCGGACATCCCCGACGTTCTGAAGCCCAGCTTGGAAAAGAACCCTTTGTTGCATACCTGAACATTGACTCGTACCTTTCATTGTGGGCATGATCTCCTTCTGGCCTCTTCGTATACGAACCGCCAAGCGGAATCTTGGTTTCGTTGCATGTCTGAAATTTTGAATTTGACTCGCAGCTCTTTCTGGTGCAGACTCTCGTGGGTTTTGAATGTTTGTTGCATGTCTCAATTTTTGATGTTGACTCGATCTCTTGTTTGCAGTGGGGGCTTCAATATATCTTGACAGTATAGAAGACATTTGTTGCGCATCTCATTTTTGCAAGTTGACTCGTGGCATTCATTTATCCATCGAGGAAATTTCAAGCACAAGGATAGAGGGCAAGGAGATTACCCACATCCTGTTAACTTCATGCTTGATTGACAAGAGAAATCAACGTTTTGTTGTCAACTGATCCGTTCTGTATTTACGTGTCGTCGTAACTACAATTATACATTTCTCAAGCATGTCTATGTTACCCCTATTCATATATCACCTTTGAGACACTTGGATTCTCAGATTTCAACCATGACTTCACATTGCTGTGTGATAGTCAACAAGAAGTCCTTTCAGTGCTGATGATGGTATCTTCGAATTAATATTTCTTCTCGTACATCATCTCTGATCAGATATGGGCTGTCCTTTCTCCACTACAATTGTACCCACAGCTGTATTGAGCATTTCGAGACCCTGCCCCTGAGTACGCTTTTGCGAACCAACCACCGAGCTCAACAGTCCCGGAAGAATCTAAAGTTTGATTTATTTCGCACCCTTTTACGGAAAAGATCGACGATAGCCTGGCATTTGAGTCAATATCTCTATGGTTGAATCTGAAGCAGGGGGTGGACCTCTTCCGTTACGAGGTTACGTGCTTACTATTTCTCCTCCTTGGGTTCTCTAAATAGATCCCTGAGCCACTTCACTTGGGATCATGGTTCTTAGAGCACACTCCTTGACTAGGAATATATGGAAGAGAGGTAGTCTCTCATAATCATTCTCTAGTCGTAAATAGTCATTCTTTATCAACATATGGTAGAATGAAAGTACGCTTTATATCATGCGTGTTCTTTCTTTGTTCAAGTCGCAGCGTTACTCTGGCACATTTGTAAAATGACAGCTCTCCAACTGCTCTTGCGATATCAGGAAGATTTTCATCTGAACTGTTTTGGGTTCCATATATATTGATTCCTTGGTACGAGAATTGGAACTCTCGTGGATTCAGATATCAAAAAATGAGCTCGTCATCAGTACCACAGGGCGAGACGGTGAGGTAGCATTCAACATTACTAGGGCTGACCAGTCGTCGAATCTTTAGATCAATCGCAAACCACAACTGCGCTATTACTTTCATTTGGCTCAATTTCTTCGACACGTTTTCCTGATTGTCGAGACCACTAATTGAGATACCTTCAGTTCTTGATGAATTGAAGTCCAGCATTACACGAAGTCTCGACACAAAACTTGCTTGTTATAATTTTATTCGTGAGTCCCAGGAGGCCAGCCATTAGCAATCAACAAGGCCAATTTCGCTGGTTTAATGGCTTCACAAACCCGTCTCAACAATCGTACCTGCAATGATCAGATAATTTAAGCTTCATTCTCAGGAGGGTAATTCATCTCATCACTCAGTGTACTATCTTAGCGACATGGAGGCGCTCTTTGGCTTATACTCAATCATCAACAATGCAGAAGGCTAAGCCGCAACTTAAATACATATTGGGGAAACTCTGGCATAAGCTTACTACATATCGATCACATCATGATCCCAATTCGTCGAGCTGATGATTGGGATAGCCTATGGAATTGGTTTAGATCTAAATACTCTTGGGATTGTTTAGCTGACTATCTGGAGTAGTTATAGAAATTGTCTCATTACTCTGCAGACTCTAAGTTATAGAATGACTGCAAAGAATTAAAACACTGAATCGCAAAATTAGTCGAATAGCATATTCGATCATCAGCCTCTCAGCATGCTATCACCACATAGTCTTCTAGTATCTTGGGATAGGCGCTTAGCTTAACTCTTAGAAGGGCTATGGAAGCTCTGAATTTGCAGAAAATCAGAAATGGCCCTTTGGAAATTCTTAGGCCTCCTAACGCCAGCCAAGGTTAACATCATGTATATGATGTATTTCGAGGGCCAAATGCAAATTTTCGACGCGTTTGATATATTTTTAGGCTGAATCATCAAATCCTTCTTGTAAGTAATGGTCTTGGCATCTTGGGATATGGCAAGCCGTCATGAAGGAGACCCAAAATCCTGAGGACATAAAAGGTTCATGAATCGTTCTCAATTTGTGGCTTCATTCTATAGAAGACATATCTTTTCGCATATCTTTCCTTGGTATTTTCTCTTTTCACTCCGCTATTCTTTTTGTTTCCCTTATTTCCTTGATTGAAAACAAACTCTTTCAATTTCCTTTCTCTCCTTCATCATCCAAAATATTTCTTTCCTATCTTCTTCCAATCACTCAAAATTTATTCTTCTAAACCCCAAGCCATCCTCAGTCTCCCCTTCTCCCGCCCCTATCAAAGTCCGCGAAGCACTCGCCCCCATCCCCTTCAACTTCAACCCCGGAATCTTCGCCATCCAACCCAGCAACGGCGGCGGCGCCTCTGATTACTGGTGATGAAACAATTGGCGTTGAGCTCGCTGGAGTTTTCACACAATGGAAGGTTTTCGAATGGGCTGGTGATTTGGACATAGTGTGGGGACTGGATGTTGTTCTTATTCTTATTCTTTGCATTTTTTATTCCGTGCACGAGTTAACTAACTCACCCCATCATCTAGTTAAAAGATTTCCTCACCGGCGGTGCATTCGCCGGCGACGAAGTCCTACAAGCTTACGTCGGTGGTAAAGATGGCCTCGATAGACTTTTCTCCCGCTATGCAGCTATCAAACTTCTACAAGCATACTGGGAAGCGCAAAATGTATTTTTCATCTACATCCCTAATATCGTCAACGATCGATGGCACGGCAACTCCGGTGGAGAAAACGCTGGTGATCCGAGAAGATTCTGCGGTGAAAAGGGAATGATGGTTCTCGCAGGCGTGGACAACAATTCCAAGTTTTCTGCTCCGACGGGTATTGATAATGGGAAAGTTGCTTCTATTGGGGCATTTAATATTCGTTCGTTTCCCTTCTCCCCTAGATCTCATGTACCCCCCCATCTCCTCCTCAAAACTCCCCACTAACCCCCTCTTTCCAGAACTCCAACAACTCTACACCAGCACCTACAACATGTATACCGGCAATGGTCCCGACTCCTACAAAGACATCACCTGGCACATGAACAACATCGCACGTGAATTTGTCGGGAACAAGGATGCTAACAAAGCATATACCACTGCTGGATTTTTCAACCTGCCGGTCTGTGAATTGAAAAGTTATAATTGGAAACAGAGTGATAATATGCATAAGGATCCTCCTTGTGATTGCTGTGAGTAGATTTTTCTTTTCCTCTTTGCGAACTATAGCCGAAGATGATGAAGGGGGCGCGTATAGAAGCAATAGTCTAGAATTGACACTAATATGAAAATAGTATGTGCTCAAGATGCCTGGGGCCACAAATTCCTCGATTATGCTTCTCAACCTATCAAAAATTGGTTGAAGAGTTGCTCACCTTGTGTTTAGGTGTCTTTATGAATTATCATAGCTATAATCTACGAGAGCTCTCTCTGATGATTCGGGAAAAAATGTGCTAAAACCCAGGTTCATCTTTGCACGCGTGGGACAAGTAGAGGTTTAGAAGTTCTGCAGCGATCGTTTGACAGATAGGTTATGGGTTTTATGCATTCCGTTTTCTGTACTTTGTCTGTAATTTTAGGAGTTTATTTGTTCTCTCGAAACATACCTATTGTGTCTCGAGTCACTTTACTCGATGGTTGATTCTGCCCCAGATGTATCGTGATGTTCAGAGCAAATCACATGCATGTACAGTACAATGGGTGAACTTTTTCTTACTCAAACGAACTTTCGATCTAAAGAAGATTCGATGTATTTAATACTTTGATAGTCTGAGGTGAGTAAATACGTCCTCGAACAGATTTGGTGCAAGCCAGGTATCCCCATTGAGGGAAGGCTAGAGTAGATGTCATATTTCTGAAATTTTCATTCACTGCATCAGCACAAGTATTATTTTATGTTGTATTATACCACTCTGCCGCGAAGATAATAACCATACTGCTCTCTCTTCCTATGTGCCATAAAAAGCCACCCCTTTTAGCTATACCAAGCCAGCCAAAGCGAGCTATCGCTGTTAACCCAAAAATGCTCCCCTCCGAGACTCGGCCGGTTCCCGCATGCCCATTTTCGCCTCACAGTACCACCCACCAAAAAAAATAAAGCAAATATAGCAATCCCCCACCATAAATCCACCCATTGCGTTGTGAATATAAACCCAAATGTATGTACGCGATGTCCTCAACCCTCATCTATCTCAGTGTTGTGTAAACTTGGAGACCTAGACACAATAGCAAACCCAAACCAAAGGCATTTCGACGCTTGATCCATTAATTCATGCATGAAATGTGAAGACAAGAAATCAACTCGTAAAATAATACATCGTAAGGAGAATCGGAATTTGGAACCCGATCCCATGACAAACGCCTTGAATTCATAAAGCAAACATCCTAGGGAAGTAAACACCTTATGTATGCTACCAGCCGACCTCCTATGCCATTTCTATATTTTCTTTCGCTAGTCATCAATCCTATATGACTTTTTGTGTGATTGCAAATGCCGCAAATGACCAACCATTGCACTAATCAAGGTGCGTCAAAGAATAACTCGATATTATTGTTTTCCACATCCCATTTGGTCGCGTCGGCTGAATCTTTATCATCATCTATCGGTTTCCTATCAATCGAAGTTGTCTCTTTATTCCCGATCGGCTCCTCATCTCCACTAACATTCGTGAGTTGTTCAAACATCCTATCTCCCAAAAGTTTGTCTTCACCAGCCGTGACACCTAGAGGAGTATGACCAACAGTACTTACGCCCATTACAAAGTTATCTCGCATTGGACTATGGAGTGAAACAGAAGGATCCATCCTTGACAATCCTGCCTCGCTGAAAATATTTGGTTGTTGAGGAGATGCATGACCGAATGTAGGGGTGCCGTTTGCATTCAGATAAGCATGTGGTGCGAAAGCTGGAGATGGATTTGTCGAAGCCGCCATGCTAGTATACGGATCATGGCTATAAGATGCATAAGGATGCGCATGATCATGAGCACTTGGGAGACCACTCAGAATTGGACCATGTGAACCCATACTTGGCATGCCTGGCCCAGAACTAGTTCCAAAACTATGAGTAGTAGGGGTTCCAGGTTGTGATCTTCCTGGAGCAGGCTGCAAAGGCATTGGGCGACTTCCACTAGGCTCACTACTCTTTCTTTTGAAATTATGAGGTTTGGTTCTCAAATTTTGTGGTAAAGCTTCGGGGTCATTAACTCCATGTTGTGCCATCAACTTTTGAAGTTTCGTTGGCCTGGGTTTTCGTGTTGATTTGGAAGATTCAAGTACTGGTGGAGGATCTGGCGCGACTGGTGACCATTTGTGAAGTTCTTGTCTGAAGAAGTTGGTTTCATAGGCAAGCAGGATTTCTGAACCTTCAATTTTTCGTAAATAGAATCGTTGGGTTTCGGATTCGTCTGCTGTTGACATGACTGGATTGCAATACGGTGCAATATGATTTCGAAATTCCTGAGCATTGTTGATGATTGATTCGAGGATAGCCTCTTCATCGGGCTGAAATGGTAATGACGGAATCTTATCTTGCCACGTTTGTAGATCTTCAAGCTTTGGTCTAGCCGCATCGCGAGGGATTTTCACACGCCAATCACAGATTGGGCAAGTATATTTATCATCATCCTTAACTTTACCACGAGCAATCTTTAAGCATTTGCCATGGTACCTATTTTGAATTAGCAAGTCCCCAGGAAAAAGAGATGAATAACTGACCATTCATGACAGAGCTCACACTCAATCATCATACCGGCTTCAACTCTTCGACAAATACAGAATACTTCCCGAAATCTTGGATCCTCCCAACTGTGTAATTTATCATTTGAAGGAGAAGGTTCGCGAGATAATGGTTCAGCCGGAAGTCGTGGTTTATCCTGACTGATATCGAAGCAATCCACATTGCGTTCCATAACATATTCCATGTGTTGTTTAAGAATATGTAGAGGGGCATTTGCCTTGCCGAAGAGTTTCTTCCCTTCTCGCATCCAATCCTCATGTCGCTTGATTTCCTTTTCCAAATCAAGAGTACCACTTGGTTTGCTACCCAATCCTTGGAGTTCCTTTTGAAGAAGGGCGACCTCTGCATAGGCGGGACGTTTCATGAAATCGGGATCCCTACAACGGTCATATAACGATACGATCTGTTTATGAACTTCTCGATGCTTGTTCAGAATTTGATCAACCTTGGCCAATGTTTCTTGAGAGACAGGTAACGATGCAGCCTGAGCTTGTTGAGACAAAGCCTCCAATTGTGGATAGTGAACAGTCTCTGCCCCAATAACTTCTTTGGCTTTTATTTCCCAATTCATACCGGCGATTTTCTGTTCCTTGTAATAGCTCAAGTAATCGTTATAGTCCGATACTTGAAGTTTTGTAGCTTCGTCAATGATATCGCTAACTTCCTTCAAAGAGAGGAAAATTCCGCGGTTATCACGGGCTCGGTCATTCCACTTCATTTGTTGAACTTCCTTCTCAAGCTTATCAATCTCGACCATGTCGACATTGAATCCTCGTCCAACTTCTAGAAGTTCTTCAAACTCAGTCGTACGACGTGAACTTGGGTGGGCTAAAGCCGCTCTGGCATCGGTCTGGAACTTTGTGATGGCATCCGCTCGCTCTCGTAGTTGATCAACCTCTGGGCAATGGAAGCCAATTCTATCCGCATCTTTCAATAACTTGACAACGTTATCGAATTTCCTTAATTCACGGTCTCTTTCTTCCATTTCTGCGGCTCTACTGCCTTTACGCCAAGCTTTTTCGTTCTTTCGCCGGTTCTGCTGCTTTCGAACGGTGTAATTTGTTGCTTCTTCCACCCATTCGTTACAACGATCAACAAATTTCTTGAGTGAAGGGAGGGATGGCAAGTCATACGGAATGCGCTCTCCTTCATTCAAGAGGGTCCGTAAAGTTTTCAATGATGGAGTTGCATCTTCTTCGAGAAACTTTTCCACTTTTTCTTCCCAGATTTCAGGCAGACCTGCTTTATCAGCGACCTTTTGGTGCATAGTTGAGATTGCTTCTTCTGTACGACGGTAATGAAGAGTATGGTCAGTACCCGCAAATCTTTCTGCTTCTGTAACATCGCAACATTCGTAAGTCCCCGCATGGAGAAGACACAACACCTTGCCACTCTGGTTGCACTTGAACCTTGAGATATACGCATAAGCTTTGCAGTGAGTGCATTGATACTCTTCCTCTGGTACATCTTCTTCATCGATCTGAAAACCAATATGACACCTGGGACCAGCACCTTCAATGACATCAGTAATGACACAAGTGTGACCATCTTCCTTGTGTTTATCAATGAAATCTTTTCTTTGTGAAACCTCTCGATCGCGAAGTCGTCCAAGGGCAGGGGCTAGCCATTTGGCGGTCTGGATGGTAACACCACCAGTTGCTGCACCTTCAGCTGCAGTCCATAAAAGTTCATCGTGGGAAAAGCATGGCTGTCGTCTGAACTGTTGGAGGCGTTCAACCCCAGAATCCCCGAATGGTTCCCAGTCTGTGGGTGCGAAATTAACGGCTTCATTGAAATTAAAACCATGGTTAAATCCAGCATGGTATGCTTGGGGGAATGTGATGACAAATTGACCAGCTCTTTGATCCAAAGCAAACACTCTAACGCCTGCTTTCTTCAACTGTTCTGGGGTTAATAGTGTAACCAATTGAAACAATAAGTCAGGTTGTGTTTCAAACAATTCGGGCACAGCTTCCCGCATGGCGTCTTCGAATTTCTCGGCATCTTCTCCTGGAATTCCGTACCAAGTCTTTGTGGATCCAAAATGTTGATAGTTTGCGGAATATGCGTAGTGATCCTCATTGTGCCAGCAAAAAGTCGAAAAGATCATTCCAACGTACAACCATGGTACAGTCATACCGGAGATATCCGATTTGATATGTCTGAATAGGGATTCTCCATGAAGTGGCATATTCGTTAAATTCCAGGGGTCGGTGGAGTAAGGATTTTGTGGTTGTCTCTCGAGAGTTGGAAAACCACTTCCGTGTGTAGTTGAATGAATATCAGCACCGTATTCAACCTCAACAGTTTCTTCTAGGCTTGCAACCAATCTCCAGAATTCTCTTTCAATGTCATCTTCGGTAACTGGTCGAGGGCAATTGAGAACGGGATCAAATGGCATTTTGTTTTGGAAGTATCCTTCCTTGAAATCTGCCGCCTTTTCTTGAAACTGCTTTAGTGAGTAGATCCCCCCTTCTTCGAATCCAAATTGACCATCGCCGACTAGGCATCTAGGACAATGCCAATCAAAATCTGGCTTATGAGTAACGGGAGGATCAAGACATTGCATATGATGACCATAATCGCATGATTCACAAATCAAGATTTTATCAGCATCATCACCCTTGCCGCAAGTTTCACATTTCTGATATGAATCTAAGTATGTGTCCGAATAAATGGTAGAGGAGATAGAGGATAAAGAAGAATCACTACTGACCTCCCCAGGTGTTGAGGATCCACGTTCTCCTGGATTTCTAGGTGGTGTTGGTCGAAATTGGGTCATATGTGATCCAGCCACAGTTGGTACAGCATCTGCAGGGGTATTGTTAGCCGGGAACCTTGACCACCAATGATACATCAAGGTTTCTAATTTAAACCTTACAATGTTACCATGGTGCATTTGCTCGATGCATGATGAATATGAAAAATGTTACTCTACCTTTCTTAAGTCGTTTGCTGCGTCTT